GGGGGGGGGGGGGGGGGAGAGGGAGAACGACTAGTCGAGTTCCTACTCAGAGGGAATGAACAGAGCAGAGCAATCAATTGAGTGATCCATCTGAAGTCATCCACTCCCCGCTCTTCTGGAATCAGAGACTAGGAACCTCCAGAGCATGGGATTGCATCCCTGACCATATTAGCTAATAGTCAAAGAACCTGCTCTCCATGAACTTATCAGCTATGTCTACACTCGCAGCTTCTTGCCCGAGTAATATACAAATGAGGCTAAGCATGGAATATCACTGAGCCTCATTTGCATACCTAAGGAGCCACCATTTTTTCAGAAGAGGCTCTTGCGCAAGGAGCATCTACACTGCCCCTTCTTGCGCTAGAAAAACCCTCTTGCGCAATGCCGTTATACCTATTACTTGACAGGAAGAACGGCATTGCGCAAGAGGGCTTTTCTTGCGCAAGAGGGGGCATTGTAGACGCTCCTTCTTGCGCAAAAGCCTCATGAAAAAAAGGTGGCTCATTAAATATGCAAATGAGGCTCAGCGATATTCCACACAGCCTCATTTGCATATTACTCGCGCAAGAAGCCGTGAGTGTAGACATAGCCATCCAGTTTAACCCAGTGATGCTTTTGGCATTCACAACATCCCTTGGCAACAAGCTATATAGGCTGTGCATTCTGCGAAGTACTGTCTTCTGTGTTTTACATCTGCTATTCATTGCACTGGGTGACCCCTGGTTTTTGTGCCACGTGAAGGAGTAAACACTTCCTTATTCCCTTTCTCCACACCATTCATGACATTAGACTTCATTCATAGCCCCCTTTATTCTCTTTTCTAAACGAAAAAATCCCAGTCTTTTTAAACCTCTTATGGAAGCTGTTCTATACCCTTAATCACTGTTATTTCCCTTCCAAAAAGATACATCAAGATGGGGAAAGGTACTGGGAGATACAATGACCAGAACCGCATGCAGTGTTCAAGGCATGAAAAACCACAGATGTATATAGTGGAATTCTGACATTCTCTCTTTTCTATCCCTTTCCTAACATGGTTAGCTTTTTTAACTGCTGTGTCATACTGAACACGTTTTCAGAGATTCAGATACCACTCAAGAAAGCTAACAGCCAATTTAGATCTCATTTTGTATATATAACTGGGATTGTTTTTCCACTTTGTATTACTGAGCACTGAACACCACTGCAGTTCATATGGCATTGTATTGCCCAGTCACACAGTTTTGTGAGGTCCCTTTGTAATTATTTGGCCTGTTTCAGGCTTAACTATCTTGAGTAATTTTGTATCATCTGCACACTTTGCCACTGTTTGCCCCCTCTTTCAGACCACGTATGAATACGATGAACACAGGCCACAATAAAAATCCCTGGGGACACCACTATTTACCTCTCTCCACTGAATAAGTGATTCCTGCCTTTTGTTTCTGCTTTTTAATCAATTATGAATCCATGAGGGGACTCGCCCGCACATTGCCAGATGCTGGCCTATGTTCGTGTGTGTTGTGTGCTGTCCCAGCTCTGCGCAGCTCATTGGCACAGCAGACCGATGTCAAACTGCCCAATAATCACCAGCTTGTTAGCAGTGAAGTGACTCTGCCTGGTTTATTGTTAATGAAGCACAGTCCTGGGATCCCATAGACTCAGGGCCATTAACACACCCATCACAATAGATCAGCTCAGTCAGGGCAGAACTTTGCACTGCACGGCCAGGCTAGCCAAAGACACTCCCTTTAAGGCTCCATTTTACACACTGATACAAGCAAGTTATGTATTGCCCCACTGGCAGGGTTAGCTACCACCATCTACCCTGTACATGCTGGTTCCATCAAAGTGTTTCTATCCATGACACTGTTATCCTGACCTTATCTCTGAGGCCAATGTGCTCCTGTTATGCCTGAGGCCTGTTTCTCACTTGGTATTGGGCTATCCTGGTATCACCTCTCAGAAGAGGTGTGTTTTTGTAATACCAGTCTCACTCTTGCCAAATTCTGTGAGCCTGCTCACAGTCTGACTTGACAGTTTTGCTTCAGAGCCATGGCTTGACCACTACTTGACTCCAGGCCTCTGATCCAAGGACTAACGTCGCAGACTCTCTCCACTAGGTACGCTCACTGTGCTCAAGAGCCCTGGTGAAGGACGTTATCAAAGGCTTCGGAGAGTCTAAGTATACTATATCTACTGGGTCACCCTTGCTCACCGGCTTGCTGATCGCCCCCTCCCACAGAATGTGAAGACACTTGTGAGGCATGATTTCCCTTTACAAAAACCATGTTAACTCTGCCCTCAC